TTGTTTCAAGGCACAGTTTAGCAACAAATGACAGTGATTTCCCAGTTCTGTTTATAAACCTCAGAGTTTTAAATTACATTGTGAAACTGGGGCAGGGGATAGTCTACCTTTGAAAAACTGCTGAAACACAGTTGCATCTCATCTGTTCCCTAGAAAATATTGGTATAGTTCAAAAAGAAAAAAAATGTTCCTGTGAAGAACATCTTGGCTTATCATCTTATTACCAGAATCCCTCTTTAACTGAATTTTACAGCCGCCTTAGCTTTCCTGATTCAATGGTGGATAGGTATGCCATCGAAGTCATTCGTCTGCTCCTTCTGCCCCCTTAGCACATTCCACACGGACACCAACTTTTTAATTCAAACTCTTTGCACTTTCCTCTGATTTAAAGAAAAGAGTTATAATACAGATTTACTGTTGCAATACAGCTATGCATAAATTCCCAGAAACTACGCTATTAATGAAATCATTATATTTAATAATTCTAAACCGTCCTTAGTGCGTATATAAGAATAAATTAGAATGGTGTAAGAAAGAAGGCTGTTAGCGTTAAAGACATCATACTCATTTCTTGTGAAACAGGTACGGTGAATGTAGGATGATTACAGAAAGCAAAAGAATGTTTTAAGTTTGTGCGTTTTGCAAAGTGTTTCATCCCTGTTTTTGCCATGGTGTTCATATGCGATGATAGGAAAATTCCTTAAACCCTGAGGTTGGATATGGGAATCTTAAGGGAGGGGGCAGAGGGAGGAGAAGAAAGAGAAACATTGTGAGAGCGTAAGATTAGATTCTGCTTCACAAAGTGTATTCTTAAGGATAAGGCATTCAGGTTGCACCGATGTATTCAGTAATGGCATTTTTCAGCTTGACTGCATGATGCTGTCACCTACGGGAACCTGCTGTATTATTTTAAACTATTTTTTGTGTATAACAGTACACAGATACAGAAATTGAAAATGGGACTGATGGAAACATTTGGGGAAAATTGGAGAATGCCTTCGTTACTTGTTAGATAGCTATAGACATAGATTCTTTGGGCAAGAAGCTATAATCAGAACAGCTGTGGCATTGAAACACAGTCTGGAACCAGTGGCCAATGATTTTTTTGGAATGAAATGAAATGAAAGCCAAGTAGTCACTTTCCTTGTGTTTCAAGCTGGAATGAGCAGTAGGTCAAGGTAACATAAGTCAAGTTGGGTGTAGATACATTCCTTTCACTCTTAACCTGTGGAAGAGCCACAGATGTGTGAAAAGTTTGGGGTAAAACCAGCTATGTGTGCAGCTCCTGGGATACCCTCTTGATTATTTCTTTATTGTTCTGTGCTTGGTTCCCTTCTAGGAAGCAGGTTGCTTCCTTCCAGCAGTGTTGCTGGCTCCACTGGAAAAGGAAAAGGCAGCAAAGCAGATGCTCAGCACCATAATCCAGTAAGTGCTTTAATAAAATGTTTCCTTCTCACTTGCACAGAGATAAGGATGGGAAAACAGAGAGAGAGACTTAATTTAGGAGGCTTTGCTTGCTGAGGGTTGAAAGGACGATAAGAAGGTGCTTGCAGGGGAAGGTTAAAGAACTGCCTTGTTCTGCAGGCCTCCATTTTGTGCTGCGTGTGAAGTCACCGCTGGAGGACTGCCTCGTGCGCGCTGGGTGAGGAGCACAGGTAATGGACATGGAGAAGCACCGTAGGCCCCTGGTTCAGGCTGGGGCAGGCCCCTGGGCCATCCCTCGCCTCACTGAAAGAGTGCAGCAAGTGCTGTACAGCTTCACAGTAAACAGAGTTAATCCTATGCCGTCTTCTCCAAATGATCTTCCATGGCCAGCTGACTCTGGCCTGTTTAATCTACCTAAGCTCTGCCTTTCTTGGTTGCCTGCTCCCTCTCAGGGAACAGCGTTTCCCTTGAGACAGCTCTCTGCACTAATCTCTGCTCAGTTTTATTCTTTTCTTTCATTGTTGGGTTTCCTTTGCTCGAATGCAACCTAGCTTTCTCTGCAGCTACCTTCTACTTCCTATGGTTTCATTATTTTGCTGAATCACTTCCTTTTGCTCATTTTTTGACTTTGTGCCTATCTCTACACTTGCTTGTTTGCTTTCAGCCTAGCATTGCTGGGACCTACTTCTCCATGTCAGTTTTCCAGCTTTTCCAGTGGGAAAGTGGGACTGGATCTCCTGGTGAGGTCTGTAATAGAGCAAAGGAGAACACAACTCCCAAGTTAGTTCCCTAGAGTTCATAGTCCAGTTTTGCCTGCGTTGCTGAGTCTCTCTTTTGGCTGAAAGTCCCTTTCCTCACCCAGTGTCTTCTCTGGCTTGACAGTTAAACAGCATGCTACCTTGAACGTGATGTGGATGTGAGGCTCTCAGGAACTAGTTTGGTATATAGCTAAGCAGAAGAGGTATCATTTTTATGGAAGAAAGTTCTTCCAGCTATTCGTAAATAGCTGGCAGTTCTTATTACTGCTTAGCGTCGACCCCCTGTGCCTGGTAAAAAAAGACAGAACAGTTTAGATCCTCAGTGTTTTTCAACGCTCAGCTTTTAGCTGCCCTGCCACCCTGTGGCATTCAGAGCAGAGAAACAGTTCAGCTCCATGCCATAGTGGTCATTGGGGTTGCAGCAGACTGTTTAGTCAGCAGATCAGAAGCCAGGCAAAGAAGTTGGTAGTCAGCACTGTGACTACTTAAATGCATGCTATGTCAAAGGTTAAGTACTGAGACTGAGCCAGGGTTTACGGGGGTAATGACCAGAGTGGCTGCCGAGAGTTTGCGGTCATCATCAGGTGTCTAACACAAGAGTAAGGTTGCCTAAACAAAAGGCAGAACTTCCTCAAAGCTCTGCTCTCAAACAGGCACATTTTGCTCGAAGTAGATACTCAGAATTGCAACAATACGCATACTCACGGATAGAAATGCAAAGGCTGTAACCACTTACTAGTGGTTATCACAGGCAATAAGCAATGCAAAGCAAATCCTGACTTTGGATTTTCCTTATCTCAGTAGTGTTTAAGGACTAAGTGGTTATCACAGGCAATAAGCAATGCAAGGCAAATCCTGACTTTGGATTTTCCTTCTCTCAGTAGTGTTTAAGGACTGTTTTAGTACCTAAGGCTTTGGGCATTTCATTTCCGCTGATTTCAAGTAAGTCTAAGGGCCTTTAAGATCATTTTGGGAAATATATGGCAGTCTATAAGATCCATCTCATTTGGTCCATCTGCCAAATCAACAACATTCTGTCACAAAGGCTGTTTGTTGTTTTTTTTCAGTCAAGATGGTTCAAAGGCAAAGTTTTAGGCGACCCTGGCTTTCACCACAAGATTTTTCCAAGATATTCCTTGCGTTCTCCCTGCTGGAGTCCATTATCTCCACAAAAGTGCATTTCCCCATTTCTGACACAGCACTGCCTGTGGCAGTGGCCTCAGGTCACTGGGGTGATCTGGCTTCAAGTGATATTTCAATCAGCCCATTTTTATCACAACTTCAGAATCAGTTTGATAGCAGAGATTGGAGACTAGCAAATTTCGGAGGAGGTTGAAATGATAAAAAATTTCTTTAACATGGCTTCAGGGGACTCAAAGAAACCTACATATCCATGTACATGATCACTTCCTTGTCATTCTAACTCCCAAATGAATGTAGCCTCTTAGATCTCACAAAGATTTCCTTAAATTCCAGGCTGGATTTGCCCAAAGACTAATGGGTGCACTGGTGGAAAGGAAGGAGTTCTCAAATTATAGGATATTTCCTGAAGAGGTGTAATAAAGAAAAATTGTGGATCGGGGAACAAACGATACTCCCACAACACTTACAGCTGTAAGAACATAAAGGATACAGGTTTTTTTGGATGCTTTTTTCCAGGATTTGCTTTTCAAGGGGACAAGCATGAATGTGCTCTACCGTAAAGTTCAGAGAGAGACAAAAACTAGAATTCTAGCTGCTGCTAGTTCTTCTGCTTCCTTCAGTGATGCATCAGAGACAACCAGGACTCATTGAGAAATCAAGCCTCATACAAATCAAATTAATTCAAGTGTTTTGTTCCAATTTGGCCAATACAGGGCCAGGTTCAAACTATTTCAGCGTGAAATGTCTTAATTTTATTGTTTGCCTATCTTTCCCTCTGCAGACTGTATGATGGGAAGTCCCTCATAGCCATATTATATCACCTCTGGATAGGCAGCAATTAGGCCATCCTTGAGGAAGCAAGACCCAGTCTGGTTCACTTACCAACTAAACTTACGTGGTATTCGCTGCTGTCCTCCAAAGACATTCCTCTAAAACTGCAATTAATTAAAAACCCCTGCAAGACCTGGGGTTGGTGCCTGAGAATGCACGTGTGTGGTGGTCTCCTCAAATGTCAGTCACTGCAGAGCAAGCTGTCTAAAATACTGTCCAGGCAGGGGACAGCTCCTCTTCAAATACTTGATTGGTTCCCTAGATTTTTCTTTGGGCTTGAATTGTCCCTCTCTCTCCCACTCTTCTCTCTCGTGTCTGCTCCAATTGCCACGCTGCAGTGTAAAAGGAAGCATGAATACCTTGTCCTGTGCTTCTAGTGTCTATGTGGTTCCTTGGACTTAAAATAAAAGGAGAATGTGGCCAGCTTCTCTTAGGCTGTATGTGTGTGTATTTCTAAAGGACAAGCAGGAAGATATGAGAAATCCAGAGATTGTAGTCCTGTATAATGTAATTCTCATGCTTTTGGGGCAAGGAAAAGAGAGTTCATCAGGAAAGAAGAATGTTTCATCTGCAAGAAGTTAAATATTTAATGTTTAATCTTTAATGTTAATCATTAATCTGTTGAAAGAAAAGCAGCACATTTGTATTGGTAAAGACCTCACCGGACTGGTAATAGTGGCAATCCTTGAACTTCTTCATCATTTAGAGATGAGACTGAGCTGTGAAGTTAGCTGTTAAGGATGAGAAAGCCATTTCTCCATAAAATTGCATGCATGCAGATAATCACTGAAGATTGACCATGTACATATATATTTTCATTCTTATATACTTCCCCAGGACTTTTCATATCTTGGAGCTTGGAACTGATGGAACTGGTCCCAGCCATTTTTCACCTGCAAGACAAACCGGCACAAAAGTTGAAATTTAATAAAAAGAAGTGATTAGCCAGTTGCATTTCCGCAGTAGGATGACTGTTCCTACTCCTCTTTTGAAGGATAACTACTGACAATGGAATACAGATTTATATCTTGTTTGGCATGCTTCAGCCAGCTCCATAAATCCTTCACTGTCTAGTCACAACTGAAGCTGTACAGAAGAATTATTTTCCTCTGTCATAGGTGAGAAATTCTGCAGGTCTGGGGTGTTCCACGTGAGGGTGAAGCCAATTCTTTTTAGGACTCCTTTTTTGAGGGGCTGGGGGTAAGGAGGAGAAAAAAAAGGTAGAAGGCTGGGGAGTCAGAGAAACAAGAGGAAAATCTGTTGAAGTCCTTGGAGCTGAGACTAGAAACCAGGTCACAACATTCCAATTAGGATTACTGACTATCGTAGCGGCTGTTGGATATTCATCTTCCTCACCCTCATTTTCATCAAGAATATTTTTATAGAATCAGAAACCCATCCAGAAACCTCAAAAATGCCCTTCTGTTTAAACCTATGGCTAATTTTAATTTACAACAATTTTTTCTGCTGAAATTTTTCAACAGATGCATCAGAGCTAATTATGTGCATTATTGTTTCTAGTGACAAAGTCTCTCAAGTGCCAAATCTTGAGACCAATAGTCAAATGCCCTCTAACTCATGTAAAAGCAGGTGACTGAGTTTTATTACGTATCACAACCTAGTCCAATTCTCTCAAAAAATTTAAACTTTGTATTCTGTTAATAGAAAAATGAAAAGGAGGATGGTCAATATATAAATATCTGTTAAAAAGCTGTCTAGTTAGATAATTACAAGTAATGGATTGGGGACCTGTGATAATGTGCTTTTTATTAAGAAGGAACAGATACGAAATGAAAATGTTAAAACTACAAAAAAAAAAAAGCAGCAGTATCAGGCATAGTCTTAATCTTAGCCAAGACCTAATGCCTAGTACCAAAAGGTTAAATATGAACATTCTGAAAACTAAAGAGTTTCAGTAGTAATTTGGAGAATGGCACGTGGAGCATAAAGCCTTGAAACATACCGAGAGAAGATGGAGAATTCAAGTTACTTCTTGTTTGGTCAAGGATTACATCTTTGGTCACTCTAACTGTACTGAGATACATTCCAGTCAGTGGTTTCATCCCGCGAGAAGGATACCCAACCTTCTTTAATATTTGAAAGACCTTAAGAGAGTTTTATTCAGCTGTATTACTTATTTCATTAAAAGAGGGTGAAAGCATGAAACCAGAAGTGACGTTATTAAGTACACTCACCTATAACGCTGCCTAGCAGCTCTAAACGATCAGAGCCAAAAAAGAGATGAGGTTCTCCATTAACATGTGCCACAACAGCAGGCATCCCAAATGCCTATTAACACCATGGAGATCAAACAGAGAATGTTAATAATAAGAAATTTTTGCAGATGCATCATCAATCTTCAGGAATAAAAAGCAGTAACTTTGACTTTTTTTCCTCCCCTTCTTTTCACCTTCTTCATTCTTAAAGATGAGTCTAATGGAGCCATCGGAAAGTAGGAGACTCTCCAAAGCCTGGGTGCCCCTTTTGAAGGAGCAAAAAAAGCGATCTGATAAATCTACAGTTTTATGTCAAGTAGTGATAAATGGTATCTCTCAGTACTGGTCCTGTAGCTTCCTCATCCTTGCTGTCCAGCTGGAATGAGCTGAATGGGTCAGCCTTGGTTTCCCAGATGGCAATGAGATAAACTACCAACAGGTTAGCTTTCACATGTTCAAAAAGCAAAGCCCATCTAAGAGAGATGGTCTATATAGTGCTTTCTAATCATCACCTTCATTGTTCCTTGCTTCCCAGTGCTCTAAATAGGGAAGGAATGCATAGCTGTGATGCCAAATGGCATTGGAAACATCTCACCCCGTATTTTATTGCTTCCTCTGTTGTCTCTTTCAGTCGGTTCTTCACTGCAGGGGACGAAATGGTTTCAAGCAGCTTCTGGGCGAGCTCTGATGACAGCCCAGCCTGTCTGGCAACCTGAGAAAAGATGATACAATTAAGAGTACTCTAATACTAAATATTCTAACTCCTACTATGGTCTAACCAATCTCCAGTATTACCACTTAAGGTCTATTACCAAAAAATTACAAAATACCATTGAAGCACTTCTTGCACAACTGTCTTGCTGTATTCCCAACCCATTTATCAACTCTCAGATACAAAATAGAAGGGATCTTTTAAACTTTAAAGCCCCAAATCTGCACTTGTTTTCAGGAGTTCCTAAACACAAAAAAACCCCCAAAACCAAAAAGATAAATATTCAGTTTAACCTCTGATCCAATGACTTATCTGACAACTAACAAAAAAAATATTGTTCTGAAAAAGACAATCTTAGTGTACAAGCCTGCCAAGACAAAACCAGGTTGTACGACCAATGTGACCAGGTAAGATCTGTAAGTGATACTGCATGAAAGAGACCATAATTCACAAGAGGTTAAACAGTTGCTAGTGTTACTGCTCTATCTTTCTAGCCTCCTCTGTGCTTCTGCCACACAGGAATGAGATAAAGTGGCCAAAGGTAAAGGTCCAATGTTTATCGGGTAATGTCAAAGTTACAAGTACCTATTTTAACAAAGTATTTCACAAAAATGTTAACTTCCATGCCAACTGCCTGAATGACATGCCTTTTTTTTTTTCCTTAAAAAAAAAAAGAAAAAATGCTTACAGTATTGCACACAGACCAGTAATTCTGAGCATGCAGGTGTTAATGATTTTTCCTTTCTTTCTCTCAATCACTTTTACATTTAGCATCCGCATCTTCTTGTACCTTCTCCTACTTTTGCACATCAGGGAGATTAGGAGCTCTTTTTGACTCTGCTTGAACAGGAGATAAGCGTAGCACTGGAGTAGGACAAAATGCTGTGTATGCTTGGTAGCCACAGTGTTTACACTGCAGTATTTACACAGAGACGTAGTATCTGGTTCTCACCATTTTAGGGCAGAAGGGGTATTTAAGTGGACTGGGGCAAGACTGAAAGACTATACGTTGCTTCTATAGTAATTTATGTGAAGTTACTGCTAACTAAAAGAAGTAAAAAAATACTAAGGAACTGTATCGAGTAAACAACATTCCTTTTTTCTAATTGAAGAGTAAAATAAATTTACCTATAGACTCAGATGAAAGGGTTGGGACCCCTCACCCCTTTGGATGGCGTATTTCCAGAAGAGCGGAAAGTGTAGTACTTGCTGCAGGGGTGATCAAAGACAGACACATGCAAACAAGGAGATGCCTACCTCTCTGCCTTGCTGAACACAGGAAGACGCCAAACAGTGACTAAATTACAGAGATCTTTTTGAGTATGAAGTCTGTTTCTCTGAAGTTCTGCATGTCCTTGCTTTGTCTAAACAATGATGCGTTCAGAGACTATGTGAGGCCTTTCTGTATATATTTATGTACTGGGTCTGGCTGGGATGGAGTTCATTTTCTTCATAGCAGCTCCTATGGTTCTGTGTCTGAGATCTGTGATCAAAACAATGCTCGTAACATGCTGATGTTTTAGCTATTGTTGAACGGTGTTTGCACACTGTCAAGGCCTTCCTGTTTCTCACTCTCCCCCCTACCCCCAGTGAAGAGACTGGGGGTACACAGATGTTGGGAGAGGACACAACAAGAGGTATTCCACACCATGTAACATCATGCTCAGCAAGAAGAAGTGAGGAGGGGGGTTAGGGAGGTTAGCCGCGTTTTGCTTGCGAACTGCCTGGGCATCAGTCTACCCATGGGAGGTGGTGAGTGATTGCCTTTGCATCACTTGTTTTGTTTTCTTTCTCTCTTCTTCGACTTCTCCTTTGCTTATTAAGCAATTTTATCTTGACCCACAAGTTTTCTTGCTTTTATTCTTTTCTTCTTCCCCTGTCCCACTGGGCATTGGGGGGAAGTAAGCACCACACAGGCACTTGCTCAGCTCCCTACCAGCCTTAATGTGCCACAGTTTAATTATATCCTTCAAATCTTGTCTCTTGAAAAGGCAAAATGCAAACGTTTCCTGAAATTCTGGTAAAAAAGGTACACTAAGATGAAGCTGAAGTGCAAGGAGTAGACTCTGGGGAAACAGCAAGACTGCAAATTGCAGGTTTCAAATAGGGACATTGGATAGGAGAGACTAGTCACGGACAATTCCTCTCTTTTCTTCCTGTTCCAAGAACTTAAAAAATAAAATAATGTAGAAATGAAAGCCCTCAAAGAAGATCTCATGGTATACTAACTTGCATGCAATAAATAAAATCTAAACAGCAAAAGAAAATACAGCAAAAGAGAACAATTTCTAAGCACATAAAAGGGCAATACAGCACTGAACCGAATAGTAATGCCTGGCTCCATCACTCCAAGGAAAGTCAACTTCCCCAAAGTGTTGCATTTCACCTGAAGATTTCATATAGCAGAAAAACCTCAATGCATTCTGGACACACTGTTCATACTTGGACTACTGTTAATAAAACAGTATTAACAGATAATTCATTGTCCATCCTGGGTGTCTTGCCACATGAATTAACAGAAAAAGGAGATTCTGGTTCTGAGTGTCATTCAAAGCATGTCCTGCCCCCCCCACCACACCCATTAAAAAAATCATTCCAAACAGAGCTGCTAGGGAAATTAAATCCACTTTTTTCTAGCTGAAATTTTTCTAAACTCCAAGTGATCATTTCACTACACTGTCTTCACGTCTATTACTGATCCAAGCCATCAATAAGAATCTGTATCAGAAACGCAGAAGCACCAACAAAAAGGAGACACTTACAGCCAACATATTCTCCGGCTTACTGATATCTTCATGCTGGTAAAAGAATAGAAGTAGTAATTCAGTACTTAAGAACAAAAGCTCAGCTCTGGACTTGAAAGCAAGTTTTCTAAGAAAATAGAAATAAAACCAATACTAGTTGCTGGAGAAATGTCCTCAGAAGAAGTTTTAAGTCACCTAACCTAGTGTATTAAGTATACATCCAGTGTATTATAGTATAAATCCAGTATATTATTAATATTAATATTGA